CGGTAGCAACAAAAACTGCGGGGAACTCTGCAAAAAACGCATCATCGCACGGGCAGCCCGTGCGTTGGCCATTTATTTTTTCTATGTGCTGGTTAAGAAAAGCTTGTTAGGTCTAAAGTTCGCATTTATTAGGGAAAACACCAACTGGTAATCAACAGCAACTTATTCCAAAAACGCATAACTGCGCTATTTTCTTGTGGCGCATCGATCTATTAACTGATAACAGATAAAATCATTTAGAAATATTATTTATATTAAAGAATCTGCAAAACATGCTTTCCTTTAGACCTTCAGTGATGTTTTCGAACTAGTACTGGCTACTCCACATTATTAGTTAATTCCCCTGAAGCATTTGCCAACATACTTGTTCAGGTTTATCCTGGCCTTCTGCAGTTAAGGCTTACTAGATGACCTTATTCTACCCTTCAAAATAAAGTCTGGGAATCACTGCTGTATCTGCATTTCCCTCCATTTGTATTTGTATGACTGTTATATCTATCGTCTTGATCCCGTTGTTTTTCAGTCCGTTGATTGTGTAACCTCTGTAATTTACAGTCCAAAACTTGTGATTTTTACGTTTCCGTAATTTTTACTTGGAGTTGTTTTTTCCAGAATATGCAGATTGCATTATCCTTACAAAATCGATGATTTAACAATTTTTTTTCAGGAAAATGCGACCGCGGAAGGTCATATAGTTCCGCAGGAAAAGATCGTTTGGGCGCAGATAGTCATCCCAGAAAGTACTAAAAACGACGAGGGCAACTATACTTGTGTTTTGAAAAAAAAAGCTACAGACGAAAACATCACTTCCTCAACAGTATTCGTTCATGTTGGAATCCGGATGGGACAAACGCGCCTCTACAATGCCAGTTACAATCATTTCTATGACGAACAAATACAGCTCACATCGTTTGTGGATGTCTACGGTGAAGAACATGAGTACTGGCGTAACTGGACAAAGGTATTTCCTTTTCAACCGCTTCTTTTCAGTTTTACAAATTTTCAAGATCAGGAAATTCTCTGCTTTTTATCATTAAGCTGCTAAAAAAACTGATCATTTGGTCTGAATTCGAGAAGCGGCAAGTTTGGGCAAATTCTCAAACGAATCGAAGTTTCAGTATATTGGCGATTCAGTGGAGGATTTGACGGAGGAAGAAGACGCTGGAATCGCGTATGACATCGAAAATGGCGTCCACCGGGAACAAATCACACTGAATATATCCAGCATGATAGATTATGATGCGTAAATTTTCCATTTCTTTCTCCAAATTTTCCCGCACAATTAGCTTGAATGACAAACGACAGTTGCCTGTCTACAGCCCTAAGTTGTACATCAAATTCAAAACGCTTTGATCAAAATGCCAGTAGAGAGAGTAATTCTCCCACTGCTTTTTTTGGAAGTCATTGCTAATTTTTACCTATTTACCAATTGTTAGTAGTTCTGCTACTATCACTTACCACCCTATTATGCAGTCTTAACAAAATAACTTCCAAAGAAAGCTCCGTTTGCGATTTTGGGCAAGGCCTCAGGATGCCGCTTTGCGAGCATGTTTTTTTAAATGAAATACCCTCTCTCCTTTTTTGCAAAAAGAAAAAAATGTCCAAACAAAAAAAGTCGATCGAAAAACCAAACAAAAACTCGACCTAATGTTTTCCGCATCATACCAAAATGACCGATACCTCTTCTAGTGGGGACATCAGCTAAGGCTAGAAGCTGGCTGACTGATCCAGTGATTCTTAGCACCAATTACAGTTACGGTTTGGAGATTCACGTACCATTCTTCGTACTTAACATTTTGAAGAAGACGACAAAGGTGATGGCATTGCGTTTCTATCAGGATGGTCGTGAAATCGAAGGACCGATCAATCCACTGAACAATGTCACTATTACCTGTTCGACAATTACCAGCCTAAAAGGCAGTCCATCGGTTGTTCTTCTCAAAAGGTAATAATTTCGATTCCTGTTTGTTTTGTCAGGCCGGACTAGGTCCAAAACCATCTTTATTTCTCTCTAAATACTCGTTGAGCTTTTTTTATGCCCAAAAAAATTAGTTTTTTTTTTTTTTTTTCTCATTAGGAACAACTCCAGATTATTACGGGTTATATCTAAAATTATAGATATGGTGAGAAGGAGTGGAAGCTCGTAAACACGATACAAACTTCTTCAACGGACATTGCATTTACCATCAGAATCGAAAACGATGCCCAAGTCTTATGCAATAACGGATTCAAATATGTACAGAATTTTCGTTACTTATGGCCATCGCAGTCACACTTATGGAGATTTTTTAGCGTAGTGGATGGGGATGGCATTTCCGATAGCTTTTGCTACTGCTGCTAAAATAACCACTTGTCGGCACACCTCTTACTTGTAGCCTTTTAAAGAAGATAGGTTCCCTTTTCTTTGATGACGCACAATCCTTATCACATGGCAAAATAGGGTACTGTACAAGTGATTCCCACTCCATTTAGCATCGATTTCTGCTGTCTGTGTTTATAGCTTAGTGATGAAACACGGAGAGGCTACCAAATCACGGCAAATGCAGGCTTGCCTATACGAGAAACCTAAACGTCACTTCTGGATGTTTTCTTTAAATTATCAAAATTCGACTATTGATTTCTCTCCCCTGTGGTCACGCTATGCTAAACCAACTAAATTCATTAATACACAGGTGATTTGAAGCCTTCCTTTTCCCTCCAACCTCCGTATAATTTCCATGTCACATAAGGAAGCTTAGGTGTCGGCATTTTGAGTTTTATTCACAAAGAAGCTTCTTGGCTTTTCAAAAAGTTTTACGTTTTTATCGGTGTTTGTTACACTTACATCTTTTTTCTGTCTCAGATGATGCGTCACATTGAAGTATTGCCGTGGATTGAGACGCAGCTGCGCATCACTCCAGCACCAGGCAAGGTTATTGATAAAAGAGAGATCCATGAAGGTGACACTGTTACAATGAACTGTACTGCACTCAGTGCGCAAATCAGGTGCGTGCTGATGCTTGTACCCAATTGCTGGTATTGCTGTAAAAGTTCATCTCCAGTTTTTGACAAACTCTGTTCAGGGAGCTCCGCTGGTATGACGAGAATGAACTGTTATTGAAAAACAAATCAGTGCTTGGTTCTGATGAAGAATTTGTGTCACTGACCATCGTGAAGCGGATTAGCCGTAGCGACCATGGACTGTACCGCTGCATCGCTACATTACTTAGCGAAAACACCATCCAGGAGTCCCTTTGGCTTTCCGTCAGTTAATACATCCAGTCAAAAAAAAAGAAATAGCAAAAAAATAGTTTCGCTTACTAAGCTTTCCCAGTATTTTTGCATGAACGGTTACAAAATCCCGATATGATGGGTAAGAGCACATCTCTCTGCATTTGTGATATTACAGTTCTAGAGCTGCAGATGTTGGAAAAATGAAAGTATCCAGGCGAACCGAGCTAAGTTTTAATAGTTGCCATCCAGTAATGAGTTCAAAAAATCCAGCACCTGCTCGCTTTGTCATATTCACCTACTATGAGCTTGCAACAGCTTATTGCAAAAACTCACAGACCACTCTATCATTGATGCGCGCCAATACTAATTGCTGTAATTCACGAAAAAGATTGAATGAGAAAAAATTAAAAAAAAAAAATGGACTTGTTTCGAAGGTGGTTGGCGGCAATCGGCAAGCAAAAGCAGAATGTTCGGCAGCTGTATCATTTACATGGACTAAGGGAAATAAGTTGTTGTGTAGTGAGAATGAATTTACTGGAACCAGTGCAAATCGTGTAAAGAAGGCAGGATTCGAATGTATTCGCAGTGGTTTCCAGACGGAGAAGGTAAAATTTACGCTTCGTAATTTTTTGGAACAGAAATCTTAGAGCATCTTGCTTTAGTATAGCTGTTACTAGCATTTTTGCAGCTAACAAATAATTTTTCTTATACTTAGCAGTTCAAGATATGCAATAGAAATCTTTAAAAAGTGATAGGCACTTTTTTCTTTAATAAAATACGAGTTAGTGAGCTTTGTTGAAAAACGAAAAGTTATTAAAAAAATAATTTTCGAAAATTTGTCTTTTAATCTAATTGCATAAATAGGGGAGGCGTATTCTAAATTAGCACACATGTCAGGTTAACCCCATGCTCAGGATAACAGGCCCAAGTTGATTTTTGCAGGAGTCAGCTCGCTTGTTCTACCTCTTGGTTGCGCTCGCCATATTTGGCGTCCTGCTGATAATTTTACTCATTTCAACCATCCTTTACGCTCGTGAGCGAAATTCGGAGCTGCGGCGGTTGCGCAAGCTGCATTCCATGTTGATGGAGCGTGAGGATATTGCACTGATCAATCGTGCTTTGCCGCTACACGAACAAGTCGAGCGGCTCCCCTACGACGGCAATTATGAGATAAAGCTGGAGCGGTTGATGATCACAAAGGTTGAACTCTCTCGTTGAACTGAAAGAGCTCTTACCCGAGCATCAGTAAATGTGTGAGTTTTTACAGGTACTAAGCAGTGGTCATTATGGACGGATTTACGTTGGCAAGCTGCAAGCAAAAACTGGCAAAGAGACGATGGATGTGGCGGTGAAAGGGTGCAAGGATGCAGCAAAATATGTCCACATGAAGGCTCTCGTTGATGAGCTGCGTATCATGATAGCCATTCGCTCGCACCCCAATGTCCTGTGCCTGATTGGAGCTGTGACTGAAAATATCAGGAAGTCAGCTTTAGCTTTTTGTTATTTCGCTACTCATAGTTTATATTTCGAAAAATCCTGTCTGAAAAACTCCACTTTTAAATTTATAATGGCTTTTCAGCAAGCTAATAGTACTTGAACGGCGCATTTATTTAGCACTTTAGTGGTAAAATTTAGGATTTAAGATCCATTTAGCTGCTTTTGTAAGAGTCAAGGTTGAAGTCGACGTCTCCTCCTTGTCCAATCTCTGTGAGAAACGGAGGCATTTCGGGATTAGCCAAGCCACTGTGTTCCGAGGGTTGCTCATAAGCAAGTTTGATACTGTGGTATCTGCCAGCACCATTGAAATGGATGAGCAAATCGTAGATGGTTGGTTTTTCGTAGTCTCAGAGAAATACAGGAAAAGTCCCAGTGTGAGTTTTGTAGCATATGGAGCTGCTGTCCAGAAAAGCAAAAAAGCTAATTTTTTGCAGAGGTGACGATGTATATGTAATAATGGAACTGTGCGAACGGGATTTGAAAAATTTCTTACTGAGAAACCGTGATGCGTTGATGGGACAACATGCAAAAGAGAGCGAGGAGGACGGAGGAGGTGAAAGGGTAGAACTGCCCAAAGACTATTACCTGGTTCCAGTGGACGATATGTTGAAGGTCGAGCAAAATGGCAAAGTTAGGAAATTTTTTGTCACTATATTATAATGACTGGGATAATCGGGTGTGAGAATCTGTTACCAGTGTTGTCACTGGGATGCGCCACATGCCGGTGTGGGTATGTATTTCTGTCAAAACGTTACAACAAATTAGCAAAATCTGAGCAGGTTTACAAAGGCCTGGAAAAATTCTGTCTTGAAAACCTTCATTAAAAATAAAAAATCATTTCAGCATGAGTCATCGTTGGGTTCGTCAGGCTACATATCGCTACGCAAAAATGGTGTCGAACTGCTAGCATTTGCTTATCAAATTGCAAATGGTATGGAATATCTTGCTTCCAAAATGGTAAGTTCTAATCGCTCAATTATTCTCGTTAGTGCAATCCGGTAGAACACCAGCATCTTGATTATTCTAGCGACCAGTTTCATAAGAATGTGTGTTATTCCGTTTTTTTCGTCCCTGTCCTTTTTCCCGTAGAAAGTTGCCTTGAATTTTCATTTCTTTTTAAACTTTATTTTTTATTGGCTTTTTATCGCCAAATACTTATCGAGAAGTTAAAAAAAAACGTAACTTTCAGAATTTGCTTGACGCGTTTTTCTTTCCCAAAACTTTTTTAAGCGACAATACGTTGTTGTTTTGTCCTGAGTTGGGGATTTAAAGTAGTAACAATAAGAAATTCACTGAATAATTAATAATATAAAATTTACACAACAATTAAAATCATAAATATTCTGTGAAAATCCAAAAAATTTTGCCAGTTATTTCAATCACTGCTACAAATTGTGGTAGCAGGGACAGAGAATTAGTCTCGTAGAACTAGTGTAAATTTCAGTTTTGCTAGAGAACTGGCTTTAATCACATTAAAATTGTTACGCACTGAAACATGTTTTCGTTGCAGTGCGTGCACCGTGATCTGGCTGCACGGAATATCCTGCTAACCCGGCGACACATTGTTCGCATAGCTGACTTTGGCCTGGCACGTCAGTGTGAGGAACAAACCAGCTATCAAGTCCGAACTTTCAGCCTTCCATTACCTTACAAGTCAATGGCTCCCGAATGCATCTCCGAGCTCCACTTCACCGAAAAGGTTCATTCATTTTCACAAAAATTTCTCCTTAGTTTTCAAAAAACTGCCCGACTGGGCAGCATTTCTTCTTTCAAAATTAAACTACTTTATGAAAAAAAAAGTAAATTTAATGCGACTGGTTGCAGTAAGGACTGCCGCTCTGGTTTAATATTGTGGTACTTGCAGTTCAGTGCCTGCCGCTGAAGACCAATAATTTCCTTTTACAAATTATTTTGAAGCCACTGCTGGCGGGTATTATGCAATGAGCAGTAGCGCTAAAAATTGTGATGCAGAAAGTGCCGCGAACGGAGCCCTTCCTCAGAAGTTTTTCTGGAGCAGGAGGGAATCGAACCACTCTTCTTCACGTCCAGATGCAACATGTTATCACTACACCACCGGTCCCTCGAGGGTTCAATTCTGCCACTGGGGCACCCAATTCCTTTACATTTCGTTTTTTTGCTTCGATGCTGAATTCGTACTGGCATATATTAGGGGATCCTTGCCGTCATCAAAATGATTGCAGCACCCTCAAAAGAAGGAGCTATCGGGCAGCACGTTGCCAGCAGTTGCTTGCGTGCTATCACTAAGGCCTGCTTACGAGTGCCTCAACTTTTTACAGAAGGGAATATGAAGGAGATTTGTTTTGTGATTACCATTCTTATTCCCGATGCTTGAAGTCATACTCGCTTGGCCATCTCATAACTTTAATGCCACTTTCTGGATGAGCTACCCAACTTTCTCTCGTCTTTCTTCTCTTCCTTCCCTCTGTTTCTATCTTCCTCCTTCCCTCTCTCCGTTCCTTCCAGCCAGCTGATGCGGATAACTTGGAATGGTCATTCTCACATTTAATGATATAATTTTAAATTCGAACAGTCTACTTGAATGAGTAATCCGAAGAATGTAAATGATGGATTTAGCTGCTTAATTGCCCGATTTTTCGTCCAATCAGTCACACTGATCTTCGCACAGTTTCACAGAATTTTGTTTTATTTAGTCGGATATCTGGTCTTACGGCATTCTGCTCTGGGAAATATTTTCGTTTGGTGAGGACCCGTACAAAAATTTCGACGACATCGAGAAGCTGACAAAATTTCATGAAAGTGGTGGACGGCTGACAAAACCGGAACATGCGCCGGAGAAAATGTATAAGTTGGAGCTTTCCACAACCATTTATATGTTGATTCAATTTCACTTAAAGTTAAAAAACTGTTCAAAGAGGAAACACACAAGTCATAAAAACAGTATCGTAAGGCAACTCTTTAACTTTAGGGTCCAT